GTTTAAGAATTTCAGTCCCATCTTTATCAGTTAGGCTGGCCAGATATTTAATTGTTTTTTCAATAACACTAAACCAATGGATTTTGTCATTAAGAAATAAGGGTTTTTTCAAACCTTTGCTGAATGGACTTCTTGAATTAAGTAAATCAAAAAGTTGATTAATTGTTCTTATAAAATCTAATGTTCCTTGAGCATCATGAAAAGAGGGATGACCAGATAGCATTAAAAATTCAATAGCATCTGCTACAGAATTACTTAGTGTTTGGGCAGCTATTTTTACATTCATTTTATGCCTATGAAAAATAATATGGTTATTTCCTAACTTATTAGCAAACTTTAGTTCAATGTCTTCTTGCAAATTTTGCAAAATTGTGATGTGCTCCCACTTTACAAATGTTTTTTGACTATCAATAAATACACCAAGATCACATAGCGCATTTCGTGCAAGTTTTAGCATATGGCAAGGATCAGGAATAAAATAAATATTTTTATTATAAGACTCAATATTAAAAAAAGTTTTCATATTTTCAGCTTTATCAAACGAACAGCCAAGACTTTTCATGGCACTAAAATTAGAAAAAACACCATCACAAGTTACGCTGTGAACATCTATACCATGTTGAACACACAAATTAACTGCGTTAGTTATAAGACAAACAAAGTTTGTTGTTGAAATCTTTTCACATAAAACATAACCGATAGGACATTTCCAATGCCCTCGAAGTCCAACAAGCATAAAGACAAGAGCCTCAGTAGCTATACTATTTGGATCAAAAGCAGATATATTGTTTCCATAATCTGAAAAACCTTCATAGTCACCATTACTTGGATTATAAACAAGACCTGATTTTATATGCATAGAATCAAAGATCAATGCACAATCTTTATATGTAACATCTTCTAATCCCTTTTGTTATAAGTAAGAAAAAACATCTTTAAAAAATCCAGGTGAACAATCAATAGATGAGGACCAATTCAATAAAGAACTTATACAAGGCAAAGCAAACAATGAGCTGACAAAAGTATAGGCACGAGGTAAATAAAAATGAAGTGTCAAGGCAAATTTCTTTACTTCTTCTGAATATCGGTGACCTCTAGGATCTTTGCATTTATTGACCAGAAAAGCTATTATCAAGAAATTGAGCTGTATATTTAGAATAACAGGCTTATATCAGCTGAAATTGAGCTGTATATTGAGAATAACAGGCTTATATCAGCTATATCAGCTGATATAAGCCTGTTATTCTCAAGTTTTTTAATAATTTCTATCATTGTATTTATTTTCACTTCTTTCCTTCTAAGCTTTTGTTTAAGAGTCTTAATTTTTCTTTTAAGCTTGACTTTAGATGGAGAGTCGACTTTATTATTTGGATTTTCAATAGTAAAATCTACACTAGTTAAAATATGATTCTTAGAGGAACATGGCAACGAAAGAGATATCTTTTTTTCATTAATAGTTTCGAATGTCTCAGTTACATTCCTGGAAACATATTTTCTTTTGATGGGCTTTTTAGAATGCATTTTCGCCGGGAAAATAAAAATAGATGGTACAACATTTTGCTTTTAAACAAGGTTTATTTGCATTTTCATAATTGTAATCTTCTTTATGAAAGTGAACACTACATATATAACTATATTTTGTAGGAACAAATGAATCACGTTTTGTTGCCACAACCCATTTTTGGCATAGCTCGCTATTATTTAAAGGGAATTTATGAAACGATATCGCAACACCTTTATTAAATCGGTTCACACAACCATAAGCAGAGCACGATATAACCATTTCTTTAGTAATAAAAGTAAATTTTTTAAAAATATTATTAATTTTTTTTTGCGTGTTTTGCCAGTATTCAAGATGGCTTCCAATAAACAAATTTGCCTCACAACTGCGGCTCGAGTTAGATATCTAGTTAATATATATCATTGGTTTGGTCATAAAAAAATGTTTGCTTGATTTTTCTAATCTTTACTGTTCTTATCTAAAGTTCTCACTGTTAAACAAGAGCTTTAATCAGTATCTGGTGTGATGTCAGATCAAGTTGTAACTGGCGAAAGTAAAAGAGAAAAAGAAACAGCAAGAGCAAGCAAAAGTTTAGAGATTGAATAAACGCTTGGCAAATAAACAATGGCAAAGAAGTCAAAACACCAGTCAAAAAGAAAGTGCTGTATGCTAAGCCCGATTCAAATCGTAATTTGTCAATGCAAACAAAAGGAGAAAGTATAAACTAGCATCTTATTCAAGTAAGATCAATTTCAAAGTGGTTAATCTATGGTCCAGCTGTTGTTTTACTAAATTAATAAAAAATTAGATAAAATCATTTCTCTATTTTATCTAAAAATGTCACTTTCTCTCTTTTTCATAGATTCCAGGCAACCATATAACCAGGGATTTTTAGCGTAATTTTTTATTAATGTGAAAAAAATGTTTAAAACTTTAATTCTTTAACAATAATGTAGACTTTATCAAATAGAAAAAGAAATTAATTGCGGCAAACACTAACCAAAGTAAAAATTCCAAGATGGCAAACATGTTTCTTGCTAGTGGTTGCCATTTGGCTCTTTCCGGTGCAACAGCACCTGTATTTATTATCGGAGGCCATTTGTTTTATGGACATCATAAAGGCAAACTCAATCTATTAATCTATAAGACTAAAAGATTTATAATTTATGAAAATAAGAGCGAGAAATAAATATTTATATTGGACTAAGTCCAAAAAAGTGGCAAATACTTGGCGTTTTACAGTATTACTTTCATGTAATTCATTTTTATGTAATTTTTTTTTACACTTATGGTAATATAAATTTATTAAAGTTAGTTATTTTTATATGCAAATGTAAATTACAGTTTAACATTACATAATAAATAGTTACTTAAAATGAAATTCACATTTGCATATAAAAAAAATAAAAAAAAACTACATTATCGTAAACAAAAACTTGTATATGAAAATGAATTACATAAAAATAATGTGCTACCATATGTAAACTAAATTTACAAATAAAATCATATTTTTTAAGAGGACATTTTTTATTTTAAAAGTAATAAAAAATTTTTATCAAAAATAAATTATATACCTAATTATATTATATTTAAATTGTAATTATAATTATATAAAATAAAATTTATAATACATAAGCTTACATTTTGTTTAATACAAAATTAAGTAAATTAAAAGTAATCTGTATAAAATAAGTAAATTTACTCATACTCTACAATAACTTTAAGAAGATTTTATACAACAGTAATGCAAAAAAGTAAAACTTTAAGTTCGTAACATTTAGTTTACAGCGACATTTGGTCTGCGCGATTTTTATTAATTCTTCCCTGTTAAACTTCCCTGTTAAACTTAAAAATATCAGCAACAGGTTTTTGCCCATGATTAAAGCCGGTCCATGATAGTCTTGGGTATAAAAACCACACTTTGAATCAAACCGCCTCAAAAATATTCAATCCCTGGCCAACCATTTGAAAGATCTAGAATTCAGACAAACCTAAAACATGGCAGTTAGCAGAAGGCGCCTATACCCATGGGAGACTCAGAAAAGGTAGACTATTTGAAAGGCATAATTGGCATCATTTTTAGTTCTTTTTACAAGTTTTTTGCGTAAAAGTTTTAATTATTTAAAAATTAAGGAGAAAAAGTTCAAAACTTTCCCAGATTTTGGGGGCTATAACCCCATGTCTCGCAGATTTAGAAGCCCCAAAATTTTTAAGAAGATGCTTTATTTTTTTATGGTTTTTTTGCCACTTTAATAAGAAAAATGCCCACCCCCTCAAAAATATCCCCAGGCCCTGCAAGTCTTAATCCGGCACTGGTTTAAAGAACTACAGTATGTTATATCGGCATGAAAAATAGAACTATTTATGTAAATATCTTTATCTGCGTATATTTTCAGTGACTTAACTACAGCAAGGCCAGTGTTAGCAAAACTTACGGTCCTTTAAGCAACCAGGGCCACAAGGTTTAGGAGCCTTAAGATATATTTAAAGAGTTTTTTGTAATTTTTTTAGTAAAAGTTATTGTTCCAAAGAAACAGAGAAATTGGGTACCTGGGCCATGTATGCCTACTGGCAAAAAATATTTTGCTACGCCACAGTGTAATTTACATATAACTTGAGCTGTAGCCAAGCAACAATTTGTAGGTAGATTAAGAAATGAAACTCATGGTGAGTGGAGCCTGGAAACAAAAATACCTTATAACATTTACCATCCCTACCCCAAATGTGAAAGCAACAAATAAGTAATTTTTTATTTTTTATTTTTTTACACTAAATTTGAGTCAACAGGTTTTAAAATTAAAAAATTCAAAAATTATAGTTATATAAAGTTTACATCCTAACCAAATGTGGTAGTTAATTCAATCTTTTTCTAAACATTCTAATGTGATGTAAACAAGAACATACTTAAGCATGGCACTATGTTTTATTTAACAAAAGTATATTTATTAACCAAAATCACTGCTTTCTAATAATAACATTTCAACAGCAAGTAGACATCACTACATACAACATTCAACAGCAAGTAGACATCATTATACTATTGGTTATTCATAGTCTTTAAATAAATTTAATATTGTTTTTAACAAAACATTAAAAGATCTCAATTGTACATAACTATATAATAATACTATTAATTTAATATGCTGTTGATTAAGTAATTCTCATCGGTTTGCTGATAAAAGGAATCCCAGCATTTTCAAGATATAAAACTTTTTTACATTGCTTTTTACGAGTTATAATACCACTCAATATCACTTGTGCTTAAATCAATTTAAAGTTTAACCTTGTATTTTGTTTAACCTTGTATTTTCATAGATAATACTTTATATAACCATTATCTTTAAGTATTGGTTTATCGTTTAAAATATTATCTTTTAATAGGTGTTTAATAGTCTTTATAAATATTTGAAATTCATAAGTATTTTATTAGAGAACGATTTTTACAAACATTGTTTTAAAAAACGTAAAAGAAAAAAAATACTTTAAAAATTAACAGTACCTTGATTATTGCATGATTGAAACTCTCTACTAACTCCTGTGCAATTTAACCATTTATTATTGCTACAATAGCGAGTTCGAGTAAAGCATATGTTGCTTTGTGACCACTCACTCCATTGTGACCAAAAAACTACATAACAAAATAAAGAAATACAGCATACTTAATATTCTCCTGCAGGTTAACTAAATATTTATACATTAATAATATTTGTAAAATAAAATGTATTCAACGTACTATTTTCATGAATAGATTTATTTCAATTTCAGTACAATACTATTTCACAAAAAGGTCCTTAAAGAAATATATCAGAAATGAAAAAAGAATCAATAGAAGAATATAAATATTTAAGTATTTAACGCATATAACTAGGGTTGCCAGACCTCCCGCAAAAGGAGGACATGTTTTTCTTTTTTCTCTTTTGTCCTCTGTCTGGCAGCTGAAGTTGAAAACATAAAAAATGTCCGGCTTTTTATTATTTTAGGTTTTTATTACTTTGTATGCTTTGTTTAGATGTTATTCCTCATTTAAACTATTTCTTTAGCCTAATTTTTTTCCCCATTCAAACTATAATAGTTATTCTTAAAACTGTCTAACTTTTAAAAGTTTTTTTTTTTGATATTCTTCAACTGAAACATCAGGTTCTACCTTTAACTCTTTTGCTTTTTTAATTGTTGTTCTATAGAACAGCAAAGAAATTAAAAAGATTAAAAAAAGTATAGACCTATTCTTTTTAATTTAAACGCTTAATTTAGATTTTACGCTTATTTTAAAATTTTAAAAATGCTTAATTTTAAAAACTTAAAAAAATTTTAATTAATTTTAATTTTATTTAAAAAATTAATTTTAAATTTTACTTAAAAATTATTTTATTTAAAAAAATTTTATTTAAAAAACTAATTTTAAAAACTTAAAAAAATTTAAAAAACGCCAAATTAAATTAAACTTAGCACAATTTGCCTATGTCAGTGTTTGCTCTTATAGCAACAACATCACTTAAAATAAATTTTTGGCTATGAAAATTACTATAAAAACAAAGTATTCATGTTTTGCTGAAGGGTGTAACTAGAATGAGGCAAAGCGTACGATTTGTTATAATTACTAGTCTGTGGCTAACAAAGTAGCTACAGATATAGAGTGCCTTGAGAAACATAAAATTGTAATCAAAGTGTTATCACTATCAAATAAGTTGACATCTTTTTTATAATCTCAAAATTCAAAGATGTAGCACAGCTGGTTTAAAGCAAAAACTATTTGAAGATTCGGAAATTGCATCAAATAACGCATGTTCAAAAACAAACACTGAGGCAATCATAAACCATGTAATTGGCCCCCACACTATTGATCAAATGGCAAAATTATTAGATAGCATTTCATGTTTTGGTCTTTCCACAGATGCTAGCAATTGACAACGGTTGACAAAAAATATTTCTGATCATTATTCAATACTTTGATTGGAAGGCATGTGACATATCTAAAATTCTCATGTTAGATAACACACCAAATGAAACCTTTGAAACTATACCACAATTATTTGAAAATACCCTAAACATATGAATTGTCATCTAAGTGTGTTTATTTTGCTGGAAACTGCTAATATAAATATTGGAGGGATTAAAAGAAATGTAGGCAAAAATGTATTCTCTTTTTAAACTGAACTCTTAAATCATTTGTGCAAAGCAAAATAAGTAGTTTTTTAAAACACCGCATGTTTCTCAGAGATGCTTAAAATATGTGAAGCATTCTTCTGTATCCCAGAACACACTGGAAATGATGAAATCAGTGATTAATACTCAATTGAAAAAAAAAAAACATACTTTTAGTTGACTCTGTGTAAGGCAACATTCTCATAAGGTATAATTTAAAGAATATTATCTTTAAATAGTTTTATTAACATATGATTGCTAATAAAAATCTTCTGTGTAAAGTTGGCTCCTCCGAGAAATATGTTAAACATTTAGTAAAGAATTAAAGAAAGCAAAGATTATTCTTCATCCTTTTAGGTTTTAAAATTATTTAATCTAGATTGCAGAAAATTTTGCTTCTGATAAATGGTATTCTGCTATAAGCTTTGAAAATTTAAAATCAAGTATAAATATTTCAAGTATTTCAAGAAAAAGTCATTACAGCTTAGTTCCTAGTAAAATTGTAACTGATTCATTTGATGGAAATGTTGAAATTTTTTACCGCTGATTCTACAAAATATTTTCTGACAATTTCTTTTTAAAACTTTTTCTGACAATTTCTCTTTAAAACTTTGAAATTGTACTTTTCTTTTATATTTTGAAGTAGCACATCTTGTCTTTGTTTATCTTACTGGTACCCTTTTTATCAATGATATTATAACGCTTGAGCATGAATGCCACTACATTACTAAACAAAACATTCTTTTATGACTTAGTGGGAATGTTTTTGGTACCTCTAATTTTACGATTGGTTTTAGTTCTAACATGTCTAAGTTGTATCTTGAGTGTTTATTGTATTTGCTTGCTGCTAAATATGCATGATCATCTAATACTTTATACACAAGTTCCGAGATTTTACATTGCAAAAGATAATCTTTTACATTGCAAAAAATAATCTTTTACATTGCAAAAGATAATCTTTTACATTGCAAAAGATAATCTTTTACATTGCAAAAGATAATCTTTTACATTGCAAAAGATAATCTTTTACATTGCAAAAGATAATCTTTTACATTGCAAAAAATAATTTTTTAAATTCAAGATTTAAAAAAGTCAAACTCAATTCATATATAAAGAACATCAATTAAAAAACACCCTCTATTTTGGAACAAGAACATTAAAGAGAAAGCGAGATGACTTACCCTACTAAAATGGCCAAACTACTTTTATAGCCACATATTTTTTTAAAATTATTATGTATGTATGACAAAGATGGCTAATATTAGCGTTTTTAATGTGGATTTTTATACTTTAACATCTAATTAGAGTACTTTTTTTTTTTTAATGTTTTTATATGATTTAGAATCAGTATAATGTACTCTATAAAATTAATCATAAAAACAGGGGGGGGGGGGAGTTGAGTAGCACCTGTAACTTGACATGTAGTAACTTACTATATAAATTTAAATAAGCAATAAAATTAAAAATTTTAACATTTCTTTTGATGGTTATCATTGTTTAGATTAGTTCCAGCTATGTTTATATAGAGCTAGTTTATATGCTTTTATAATTTGCAATTTCAGACATGTGGCATGCAATACCACACTGTAAGTTTTATCAGTTGTAAAATAAACCTGTTGTAAAATGTTTACTTGCATTTTTTTTTTTTAATTTCGGCTAGTTACAGCTAAGTTTATATATGAATTGTTATAAATTGTATATTTAAGTTTGTTTATGCTTTTATAATTTGCTATTTTAAACACACGCCATGCTCTATCACACTGTAAGTTTAAAATAGTTGTAAAAGAATTATTTTTTTTTTACTTGCAAAAATTTTTAGAACCTTTCATCAGTTAACCCGTAAGGTTATCTTTTGTAGCGCATTTAATTTTTGTTTAATGTATTGAAATGTAGAACTAATAAAATAACATAATTTTTATTAGCAATTTAGAAATAAAGAATTAGCAACAAATGTTTCTTACAGGGTTATTAGTAAAAATTTATTTTCATTTTATATTATGGTATATCATTTATATTCGATTTTTTTTTTAATTGTGTTTTAAGGTTTGTTTATCTTTAAAGAATCGACAACAGGTTGCTGGAATTGAAATGTGCACACACCCGAATTTACAATAGTATTAAAAATTGAAACCTAGTATAGTAGCAATTGTATACATGTCTGTGTTTTTTATATAAATGTTTTTTGACCTTGAATATAATAATTGTATTAATGAAATGTTTATTCAAAGACTTTTTATATTTTTATTTAAATTTTTTAATTTTTATTGTAATTTAAAGTATCTGTATTGAATTAAATTAATATAAATATTTTTCAATTGAAAAGTTAAAGCATTTTTAAAGCTCCCTAAAAAATCTATTCTGATCATGTTAGTTTGTACATGGAAATATAAAACAGATGGGAGTTTAATTGCATTCAAATTCTTCAGGACTATGCTTGTAACCTTTTGTTTCATAAACAATAAGAAAACGACATCAAGACTGTACTTAAAACACTTTATCTTTATACGTTGACGCAAATAGGTACGTTTATAATAATTTAAAAATGTAGTATTTTGAAGGTTCGCCAATAATATTCAAGAAAAACATAAAAATAGTGCAATGAAACTTTTTTTAAAAACTTCATATTAAATGAATGGAGTGCTACAAGAATGAATGGAATTATGATACAGCTAATAAAACTTTAAACTTTAGTTATTTAAAAAACAATTTTTTTGATTTTTTAAAAATTGTATTAGTTTTCTTTTAATCAAATGTCGTGAATTGTCTATACTTTCAAAACTATTTAACAAATAATTATCAGAGTCTCGTTTTCCAACTGTTATCCCTATTTTCAAAAATCTTAAGAGAGCAATCTGACTTGTCTAATTACTATCCCATTAGTCTTCTTCCTATCATAAGCAAGGTTTTTGAGTCTTTATAACTTATTTTCTAATCATTAATATGGATTTTGATCTTCTTGTTCTACTGCTGCACTTTAATGCAAAACTAGAGTCAAAAGCGTCGCTTTAATGCAAAATGAGAAAATAGGCTTATAAATAAAGAATCATTCAACATATTGAGCTGATTGTTTCACTAGGCATTAAATTTTTGTTTAGATTTCTATATATTTAAAAAAAAATATATCTGATTTTTATGAAATAACAGATTAGTGTATTTTTTTTTCAGTTCATCTGGACTAATTCCGGACTTAACTGGAAAATTACATTAGCCTGGATATTTTTATTTAAAAAACAGTAGGTGCTGATATTTTATAGAAGTTTAAAAACTTTTTGAGAAATTTATAAACAGTATCATTGAATATAAACTTATTAAAATTATAAACAAATCTGCTTTCATCTGATTCTTTGTTCTTTAGTTTTTTACAAAATTTATCAATGTTCTAATTAATATTTTCAATATCTTGTAGCTATGAAAATAGCAAACTTCTTAAAAATTTTAAATGACTTGAAGCAAGAAAAGAAGCTTAAACTAACATATGCTTTCAAA